GGGCCCATGGCATACTAGGGAAGGCAGATAGGACCATATTATCATCCGCCAATATAACTTATATCAAAACAATAATCCAAACAGCAGCAGTGTGGTCATTGATAATGACGATGATGATGAATGTATTGGTGATGATGATGGTGGTAAACTCACCAAGAAGCCAAGCACAACCTGTCCTTTCTTCTCGCCCAGCAGTCAAGTGCTTCTTTCATCGTTGGCCACTATCCCAAGAATTTGCGTGTCATCCTTCCAACTGCAATTTAATCAGTTATGTACATTTGGTGTGTGGTGATGCACTGGGCCAGCTCTCCTGGAGAGAAATACCACCCAGTGTACACACAGTTATTGTATACACACGGTTCCATAACACATGCAATCATAATTCACTTACTCTCACACAGATATATCAGTACTACTGAACTTTTATGCATATTCTCTCATGTAGCTCAATCAACACTAATCACTATCTTAAACACACTATCTGATATGGACACTCTTTATGTCTAATAACTCATTTGTGTGCCTTAAAAACTCTAAGAGAAGAACCTTAATGTAAATCAGCTAAGATGTATGTACTATGCAAGAGTTACTTGAAATATATAATTAAATAAAGTGTATTTGAAGTTTACATGAAACTAGAATATGGTCTTTGTTCCCCAGCTCTGTGTCAAACAAGTTATATACCTTTTTCTATCCATTAATAAATACTATACTACATTTTCAGAATGGTTTATTGTGTCCTGGAAATGGAGATGACAATATTTGATAATATATAAACCATGAGTTTTTATGAATGGCTGAAGAAAGTGTTTTTGTATTTTACATTTTACCACAGTGCATTGTGCATTATGCATCGAGCCTTTTATGCGTTAATAACCACACTGCATTTATTTATTTTTTATTTTTTTATTCATATCGTAAAACGTCATTTTTTAGTCAGTAGACATGGCTAGCCTAATACTACCAATTTTGAAGGGCTGTTGCACTCTCATATTTACGGTAATATTTACTTAAGTCACGTGTTGAACGGAAGTGCAATTGCGCACGCATCTCCCACTTGAAACATTGTTGCAGTTTATTAACATCTATGGATTGTTTATTACACATTAGCATTGAAATTCTACACTATTTTCTTAACACAGAAAATATACATCTGTAATTTGGGTTGGACAAGATGGCCAGCTGCAATTTTCAGGCGCAATTGGTATCCATTATGGAGGTATTAGCTAAAGCAGCTGTAGCAGAAATAAACAAACGAGTTGATGATAGCTGTGCAGTTATACGTTTGGAAATGACCCAAAGCCAGCGAGATATTGATGTACTGAAAAGGAAGTGTCAAATGATGGAGGGTGAGCTGAAGAAGACGCGAGGACGAGTCAGGAGAAAAGGTACTTGATTTGTGTAGCTACTGTTACGGCGGTGTTATGTGAATGATTCGATACATCCATTACACATTAGCTATTGAACATAATAGTAGGCCATTTGTCAACTAACCTGTTTTTGGCGATACTTTCTCTGTTCTCGATTCGGGGAGAAAATGGTATCTTATAAATGTCCGTATCCAGTTGCAGGTGTTTCTCCAAAAACCAGAAAATATTCTGAAAGATATTAAATCCACGTTTTGTATCGAGTGAGAAAATTCCTTTTGCATGTGTGTAGATCTCTGTTTTGCGCTCTGTTTCAGTGCGACCTGTAATATTGCCATTCCCCAGGTTTCCACTAGATAACACAGCCAATAATCTTAATTTAAGACGAGGCATACTGTTAGCATTGTGGCTAGGGTTAAAATCTGATTTTAAAGATAATAAATTGTAGAAATGGCCGGGGTTTAGCCATAATTATGACTTTGTGGCTGTGTTAACTAGTGGCGACCCCCCAGTAGGAGCAGTCCGGTCATCACTAGCTTTAAACCAGTGATTTATACAAACCCTGGATTGCTAATGTTATTTATTGGCCATTGAGAGGCTTCGAAGACACCGGCCGGCCAAATTGGCACTCCCTAGTATTTGTTATTATTTTTTATTTATTTTACCTTTATTTAACTAGGCAAGTCAGTTAAGAACAAATTGTTATTTACAATGATGGCCTACACCGGCCAAACCCGGACGACGCTGTGCCAATTGTGCGCCGCCCTATGGGACTCCCAATCACGGCCGGTTGTGATACAGCCTGGAATCGAACCAGGGGTTCTGTAGTGACTTCTCAAGCACTGAGATGCAGTGCCTTAGACCGCCATAGAAATGAATGGAATTCTTCAGTATTTCAATTAAATGTTTCAAGGACCAATTGTGTTTTTTTAATATAGGTTTTAATTGTTTATTTGACTGTTTTGCTCACAATATATTTTAAAAGTGTGCATGAAGGTGTCTGTAATATAATAAACGTGTCAATGCATTTCTATAGTTTCCAGAATATTTTTTTTTACAATTGAGGAGGAATGCCAAGATGGCTGTGCCAAGATGACTGACGGGGGGCTTCAAGCGCCCCCTGTCAGTAATCCAGGGTTTATACAAATCATTATTCTATACCCGGCTTTCAACCTACTGAAAGTTGTAATAGTACATTTACATTTAAGTCATTTAGCCGACACTCTTATCCAGAGCGACTTACAAGAATGTACAAGGTGCAATTTCTAAATTGGGTAGTGCATCAGCAGTGTTCCTCTTGTCATGTCAGTCATTGCAGACCTTAGATAGCTATTTATAACTTGTCAGAAATGTTCAGATCAACTAGCCCATGTCAGCTAATGTTATTTAGCTAGCTTTTTTAGCCCATTGATTTTGTAATGAGCTTTAAAACGCCTATATTTTTCTCTGCACCCCATGACAAAATGTGTAGAATTGCATGAAATGAGCTTCAAAATGGCAAAAAAAAAGTCTCCATCCCATGGCAAAATGTATAGAATTGCAGGAAATAAGCTTTAAACCTGCAACGTTTTCTCTCTGCCTACAAGAGTGTAAAATGTAAGAGGGGTGTGAACAGTGTGTCATGAACATTGCTTGTGCCCATAGAAAGAGACGTGGCACGCGCGTGCAGGCGGGGTTATGGGATGTTCCCCATTGCTGGAAGGGGGGCCCGAGTGAAAAAGTTAGGTAACGGCTGAAAACCGAGCAGTCCTCCATAGGAATGAATAGAATTCTACAGTATTTATATATATTTCAAGGACAAAATTACATGTTTCTTTGTTGTAGAGGGGACAGTAACATTAGTTCTCTATAAAAATATATATCTATTTTAAGGAATATGTTTTTATTATTTTTGTATTTTCATGTTCAGTTCACTTAATATAATTTAAAAGTATGCATTAAGGCAGGGTTCCCCAACTGGCGGCACGGGCCGCGGGTGGTTGTATTTGCCCCCCCAAGTTTTCATTGTTGGGCATAGAAGACTGTAAAAACACCAGGAAATCAGCTGCAAGTGATTTTAATTTTGGAAATCTGTTCCCAAGTATTCCCACGCATAATAGAGCGGCTTAGTGGTTAAGAGCGTTGTGCCAGTAACCGAAAGGTCGCTGGTTCTAATCCCCGAGCCGACTAGGTGAAAAATCTGTCGATGTGCCCTTGAGCAAGGCACTTAACCCTAATTGCTCCTGTAAGTCGCTCTGGATAAGAGCGTCTGCTAAATGACTAAAAATGTAAAAAAATATGTGATCGTATACAAATAATAATAATAAATAATAATGTATTGGGTTTATATAGCACTTTTCTACTAACTGAGTTACTCAAAGCACTTGACATAGTAGGGGGAAACTCACCTCATCCACCATCAATGTGTAGCACCCACCTCAGTGATGCACGGTGACCATTTTTGTGCCAGAACTCTCACCACACACCAGCTATCAGGTGGAGAGGGGAGGAGTGATATATGCCAATTAGGAATGAGGGGGATGATTAGGTGGCCATGATGGAATGTCACCAGGTTGGGAATTTAGCCATGACATCGGGGTGAACACCCCTGCTCTTACAATAAGCGCCATAGCATTTTGAATGACCACAGAGAGTCAGGACACCCATTTTAACGTCCCATCTGAAAGATGGCACCCTACGCAGGACAATGTTCCCAAATGTAATCAAGGTTTGAAATGATTATGTTTTAGTCCAATATTATATCTGTTTAGGCTTCTTGCGGTCAGTTTGCAGTCAAAACATTATTTTTTATTATGTTCCGACCATCCGCTCAAGAACAAATTGGCCCGCGGCTGAATGTAGTTGATGATCCCTGCATTAAGGTGTCTGTAATAGAATATAATTGTCAAAACTAATGTAGACATTAAAGACACAGTGCAGTCCAAAACTTCCTGTGATTTATGTATATTTCCACACTATGAGGTTGGAATAATACTGTGAAATTGTGAAAATGATGAAAATGCTGTTTTAGTGTAAGAGCTTTTCGAAAAGGCCGCCTGAAATTTCAGCCTGTTTTGGTGGGATGGCGTTTTGGCCTGCTTGGTGGCATCACCAGGCAATAAATTAGTTAAGACCAATAAGAAAGTTCTAAACCTCTCTGCCAAAATCAGCTAGTTTTCAGTTTTATCTTCCCTACTCAGACTACTCTGACAGTCCTAGGAAATTCTTGCTTGAGAAATTTCTCTTAGCTAAGAAGCTTTTTATTTTTATTTGAGACCATTTTGATTGAAAACAATCACAGTAAGGTACTTAATTGTTACCCAGAAATGATTTCATATTGAGATAAAAACGGTGCATTAGGCCTTTCTATAGCTTCCAAAATCTTTTTTTTACAGTAGAGGAGTACCAAAATGGCTGTGTGATTGCTTCAACAGAGCCCCCTGTCAATCATCTAGGGTTAATACATACTGTGTCATTGTATGTGACTCGCTGTCATTTACTTCTACAAGTGGCTGTGTCTGGCAGTTGAAATGGCAAGGGAACTCCTCACTCGGTGCCAAACAAGTATTTAATATTTTTCGGAATATTCTGTGGTTTTTGGAGAACCACCTGCAATTGGACAGGGACATCTTTAAGATACACATTTCTCCCGAATTGAGAATGAAGAAAGTATTGCCAAGAACAGGTTAGTTCAACATTTGGCTGCTATGCTTTATATTAGCTAATGGGTAACGGCTGTATAGAAGCATTCTGATATCACCGCTGTAACAATGTGGAGCTAGATAATTTGATTGCATATGCATAATCCAAATGTGTGAATAGCCCTAATATTTAACTGAATACAATTATTTTAATATCTTTTACCCCATGGCATCAGAGAGATCTTCATATCCAGTCAAGATTGTTTTGAACAAGCAGAGGATTAGCTCACAGTGGAGAGACGGAGAGATGGCTGTTGGAGAGGACTCTCAACCCCAGGTGTGATACATCACCTTTTACAATTACAGACTTATTGGATCAATTCTGTTATTGGACTAGGATAATTTAGTTTTTGTGTGATTCATTAATACCAAAAGGGTTAGATATGGCGTGTGTGTCCAGAGTAATAACCTCAGTCTCCTGTTACAGCCTACAGATGTGGAGCAGAGAACGGAGACTGAACCCATACTGATCAAAGATGAGGAGACAACAGAGGACGTGTGGAAGACTGACCCTCAGGAAGAGCTTATGATCACTGGAGAGGGTGGGTGCTGACATAAGGGGTACTGCTCTGTCTGTCTATGGAAGACTGTGTTGGTGTGGTGGTATGCACATTGCAAAGTGCTACATTGATGTTGGGCGTTTTCTGTTCTGGCATACGGAGCGCAAATATACACACAGTCCGTTCTAAAGCAGTCATGGTTTGCTACTGGTAGCCCTTTACACTCGTATCTCTATATGGGTTGAAAATTGTAGATTTGGGCACTGACAAGTTGGTTTGTTCTGAACAGAATTAGCCTATTTTTGTCTATTGGGAAGAACATTTGGCACAGAACTCACTCCTGAATGCACGCATGATTCCTTTCTATTCGCACCAAAATTACGATCTGTTTCTCTGAATTGCCTTGTGAAAGCCTAACACTGTAAGATCGTATTTTATAACTTAGCTAGTCATGTTGGCAATAGAACAGACTTTCAAATGATGCCCAGCTGACCCAGATTGTGATTTAAAATGGGCAGGTTTTGGATTACGTAAACAACTACAGTAATTGTGTGAAGGCGGGGATGCAGGGGCTGTGTTATAAACAAAACAACTACAAGTGAACTTGTTCTAGTTCCTCAAATGCACCTTATAGTTGTAGACTCTTCTTTAAGTCATGAAAGTGTATTGAAATTACTTAGGAACTGTGCAAACACCAGTTAGTCCTCTCAGTCAAACCCTTGTCATTTTTTTGTCTTATGTTGCACCTACCCCACATTTCCAGGATTATTCTTATCATGTTACTGAATGTATCCAGAATATTTTCAGATTTTGTTCTCAACAAATGCGGCAAAAAGTACAGTAAATGTAAAATGCACATAAAATCAAGTGTAACGTTTGGATTCAGTCTTGTCAGGTGAACTGTTGTATCCTCAACTTTAGTCTAATAATTTCCCCCAAATCTCCAAACTGCTCCCTTTCAACTGCTACCATGCTTATCCATTTCATATGACTTCTGTAAGAAACATTTTAATTTAGCCCTATCTATATAGGCCATTTCCCACAAGTGTAAAGGGTTAAGGTTCTTTTTTAATGTTTCTTTAATGTTTATCTCCAAATCTTTAGAGTCTGGTTCCAAGGCTGAGCAACCACCATCCTTTGAGCAACGGCATTGTGATGAAGACTTCAATGCACAACCCAACATATCTCCTGAAGACTCAGTGGAACATTACCCCAATTCTGATCGTCCAGAGGAACCAGGCAGACCCCGGCTCACGTCTACAGAGAAGTCAAAGGGGTTCAGGACAGAGCAGCACCGGCCAGCCGAGGACGAGGACTCACTAGAGCTAGTGATGGTGAAGGATGAGAAAGAGGAGGAGCTGGATCAGACCACAGCCCTGGCAGGACCTGACCAGTTTGTCATGGATGAGACTGATCGGCATCGGTGGACCTCTGTGGATCCAGGCAGAGACACTGACCCTGATGGCCACCCAGATTTCTCCTTTCATGCCACAGAGGAGTACTCTCAGAATATCTCAATTTTCCCATCTCATAGTGGGCTGCCATCCATTCCTACTATGACAGATGATGTAGGGCCATCGCTTCACTCTTCTATAGGGAAACCACATGCTAACATGTTCAGTGCAGCAGCACACATGAAAATACATGTCAGGACATTGGCTGATGAGACTAGACAACAGATGCCAGAAGGACAGAGCAGCGAGAGGCTGAACTCAAATAATGACGGAAATAATTTATCTCTACAGTCAAGGCAGCATCAGTACAGGGCTTCAGAAGCAACAGCGAGATCGAGTGAGGGCATGACAGGGTCAAACATGGCCACCACCTCCACCTTCTCTGGATACAGCCTGAGTCGCAGTAGTTTTAACATGGTGAAGAGAATGAGGACTCAGTGGAGGTCGGGTGGCACCACCGAGAGGCGTTTCAGCTGCACCTTCTGTGGAAAGAGCTTCCAGCGTTTCAGCCAGCTCAAAGAACACCTCCGAAGTCACACCGGAGAGAAACCGTACACCTGCGAACAGTGTGGCAGGAGTTTCACCAAGCACTGCAACCTGATCAGACATGCTGTGGTCCACAGCGGGGAGAAGCCTTACGAGTGCACACAGTGTGGGAAATGCTTCACCCAGAGCTCCAGTATGAAGTCACATCAGAGAACTCACGTAGGAGAGAGTCCATTGTCTCAATACGTTGTACCTGCATACCCTGGGGATCCACATACAAGTTTGTTGTCTCAGACCAGGTGGAACAAATAAAACATAATTGCATGATGTTTCTGTAACACTTTCTATGTGAAAATGTGGTACAGAATGTATTTTGAGACATATTGACAAGCTTTTCCTCCCAATTTATTTGTGAAATGGTGTTCATGTTTAACTGTTGACAGCTTCTCACTTTCATTTTAACACTCAGTGAAAGAATTCCATGACGATCAGTCTGACTTCAATTGTATAAAGATTCCATAATAAATAGCTACATTTAATGCATTTATTATGTTTAAAATAGGTCATAAGAAACCACAGGACACCAAATGCAAATTGTAATCAATCAGAAAATGTATTGATTGAGCCAGAAGCGCATAGACTGTAAAAACAAAAAAAAGGTGATAGTGTATTTTATAACTGTAAGACAACCTATTTACAACTGGTAGCATTGTGTTTTGTACCACAAATAAACCTGATTTAATGAAAGACTCAATCTGCGCTTTTAGGTCAATCATTTATAGGAGCCATTTAGTATGTATTGTTTAGTTAGTGTTTGTCTATCTGTGATGTCACTTCTTGCCACAAGGGACAGTCTCATATCAGGTCAGGTTAATAACTCAACTTGATTTTCCCAAGTTATATTTTGACGTTACTCTGCTGCCTAAAAATGTTAAGTAATGTCAACTCAAAACTTGGCAATTAAATATTTGTTTCAGTGTAATAGGCTATACTTGCTCATACAGCTTTACATTTTACATCTAGAAACAACACTTTTACTGTGTACATTGACTAAACTGACACTACACCGGTACTGTATGAAACTGGTAATCTGAATCAAAGATCATTAGATACTGTATATATCTAAATAGATTGATATGATTGGTAGTTTGAATGATTTACTGGTTCATTGATTTGCCAGTCAACAGAGGCGGAGATAATGGTGGCGATATACAGAAAGAGAATGTTAGAGAAAAGGAGAGACTCAGGAAGTCAACAGGGGAAGTTTAGTGGTTTCTTGTGTCATTGCTTGCTGCTGCTTGGTTGTGCCTGTGCAGAGTGAAGGTAGGAACAGTCTTAACTCTCTTACTCTTTCTTATTATTGTGTTTACCTCTAAGTCACCCCGAAAGTGGAGAAGAGGAACAGTGACAGTGTGTTAAAGGTGGGATGGTAGGGGTCAGGGGGATGGAGAGGTGGGGTCAGGCTCAGAGGCTTCATGTTCTACGACAGGCCTACAGTCACAATGTGCAGTTAAATTGACTTCCTCTGCAGTGAGAGGGACACGAGTGGCCAGGAGGAGAGGGCCTCTATTGGTCACAGAGAACAGCCAGAGCCGTGGTTTAGGGTGTCAGGGTGTCCATCAACATAGGAAGTGAATTTGAAGTGTCCCCAGATTATGGCACAGAGGGAGACTGGGAGTGTTTATTTTCTGAAAAAAGACATAGGGGGCAAGTGAAGAGAGTGATGCATGCTGTAGATTGTGTGCGGTGCACAGTTCGATTTTAAGTGATCACATTAAGTGTTGTGTTGGTCTACCATATTGAGACAATTTTTCTGGTTTCTTACTTTACAGAGTACCACAAACACAACACAAGACAGCATGACCCAGCAGAATGGCTTAAAACACAGCTCAGTATAGTAAAGCAATGCATATCACTGAGTGGAACAACACAGCATAGAATATTAATGGAACATTGTAAATGTTTATGAAATCCTCATGGTCACGTTAACATTGACCAATTCATACAGAAAATAAATATCACATACACACATACACACAGAGAGAGTTGACAACAAGGCTGGATGTGCGAAAGGTTGAGGAAGGAGAAAATAAGAGATGCAGAAAAGGAGGGAACAATGAGAAGGTGTTTGGCTGTGACCTGTTGGACCACCTGGCTACAACCTGTCAGGAGAGTAAGTCCCAAGTTCCCGCAGTCTGTTAGAATATGTTATATTTGAATATGTTAAATATCAGCCTACAGTTGTTCATCCCTGTCAGTTCTGTAGAATATTATAATCTTGTCTACCTCTTAGTTCCACAGGTGCTGCGAAGCTGCAGTGAATTCATTGAGGAGCATGGCGTTCTAAATGGGACCTACAGGCTATCTTGGGTGTCATCCAACACACAGAAACTAAGGTAGGTTTGTGGTGTTTGCGTGCATGCGTGAGTGTGTGGTAGAGTACAGCAGTGAAATGTAATTTGTTTGTTGTTTAAACCGGTGTGTTTGACAGTGAGGGGACCTGCAGGACATTTACTATGTCAGCTCTCTCTGCAAGGCTTACTTCAGAGAGTTGCCCAATCCTCTCCTTACATACCAGCTGTATGACAAATATGCTGTGATTACCTATCTTAGTACATTACTTGACAGTAATTCAGATACATGGACACCAGGGTTGCATTCAGTAAGAGCAAAAAGGAGAAAGCATTCTGACACGGAAAACGAGGAGTGTTTCTATTGGACAAGTTCAGGCAGTAGAGGTTCAAAATGTCCAAATGTTTTCTCCCATTTCATACCAACTGAACGGAACCCTAACCCAATATAAATATGGCATATTGCTTTTTGTATCAACCTCACACACCTCTTTCCCCTAGGAAGCTATGGCGATTCAGCTGGAGGAGGAAGCTAGTGAAGCTCAAGGATGTCCTGAAGGAGTTACCCTCTCCTCATTACAGGTAAACCTCCACCTATTCAGCCATTTCTCCTACTTTTATATAGAAAGAGTAAATGTTTGCTATGTGTTTCCATATATTACATGGCTGGAACCATCTGTTTGTAACTAGGGGGACTATAAATTGTGCCATGTGTCGTTTTTCCCCAATAGTTTCAACTGTTTTCAAACTACATCTACAAAATTAAACCCATTTCTCTCTCTCTGCCCCTTCTCCCTCCCCCTGGTTTCTCTGGACTCAACAGTTCCTGATGTGTCACCTTATCAAGATGGCTTCTTATTCCTCACACACCAACATGTATAACCGGAAGCTCAACATTGTTTGGGCTCCAAACCTTCTCAGGTGTGTGTATCTACATGAGAGAGAAAATCGTTAAGATAGAGATAAATAATAACAGTGTGTTTGCATTGTTCAACGTTGTATAACCCTCTGAGGCTGTTTGCAGGTCAAAAGACATTGAGGCGTCAGGGTTTAATGGTACAGCAGCCTTTATGGAGGTGAGGGTTCAGTCCATCGTGGTGGAATTCATCCTCACCCACGTGCCCCAGCTGTTTCCTGATTCAGGTACATGGTATTTTCCTCCCTAGTCTCTGTCTGCCATAGAGCAGGATCATGTTAATTAGTGCACACCTTAGCAAAAAAAAGTGCAAGGGCAAACAAAGACAATTGTTTATTGGACAAGTTCAGGTAGTCCCTCCCTGTTCCAGTCTGTTTTCTTTGACCCAGATCACTCATAAGCTCTCATATCTCATATCTCCTCCCTTTTTTCTTAGACTCCTTATAAAGGTAATGCTCCGGAGCGTCGTAAGTCGCTCCCATCTCCCTCTATACACAATCCAGAAGAGCCTTTCTTCCGGACCATTCCATTCCAGTTAGGCAACATCAGCCCAGGGGACACCCCCCCTGTGCAACTGGGTCCTTGACTTTGACGGGCCGCCCCCAGGTGGTGAAGGTAGGTAACAACATCTCCACTACGATGATCCTCAACACAGGGGCCCCACAAGGTGCGTGCTCAGCCCCCTCCTGTACTCCCTGTTCACCGATGACTGCGTGGCCACATACGTCTCCAACTCAATCATCAAGTTTGCAGACGACACAGCAGTGGTAGGCCTGATTACCAACAACAACGAGACAGCCTACAGGGAGGAGGTGAGGGCCCTGGCGGAGTAGTGCAAGGAAAATAACCTCTCCCTCAACGTCAACAAAATGAAGGAGCTGATCGTGGACTTCAGGAGACAGCAGAGGAAGCATTCCCCCATCCACATTGACAGGCCGTATTGGAGAAGGTGAAAAGCTTCAAGTTCCTCGGCGTACACATCACTGACAATCTGAAATGGTCCATCCACACAGACAGTGTGGTGAAGAAGGCGCAACAGCGCCTATTCAACCTCAGGAGGCTGAAGAAATTTGGCTTGGCCCCTAAGACCCTCACAAACTTTTACAGATACACCATTGAGAGCATCCTGTCGGGCTTTATCACCGCCTGGTACGGCAACTGCACCGTCCGCAACCGCAGGGCTCTCCAGAGGGTGGTGTAGTTTGCCCAACGCATCACCGGGGGCACACTGCCTGCCCTCTAGGACATCTACAGCACCCGGTGTCACAGGAAGGCCAAGAAGATCATCAAGGACCTCAGCCACACGAGCCACTGCCTGTTCACCATGCTACCACCCAGATGACAAGGTCAGTACAGGTGCATCAAAGCTGGGACCGAGAGACTGAAAAACTGCTTCTATCTCAAGGCCATCAGACTGTTAAATAGTCACCATTAGCCGGCCTCCACCCAGTACCGTGCCCTGAACTTTAGACACTGTCACTAGCCGGCTACCACCCGGTTACTCTACCATGCCCCTTAGAGGCTGCTGCCCTATGGACATAGTCATGGAACACTGGTCACTTTAATAAAGTTTACATACTGTTTTACCCCTTCATATGTACTGTATATACCATATTGTAGTCAAGGCCTATCCTATTTACAGTGCATTCGGAAAGTATTCAAACATTTTACATTTTAGTCATTTAGCAGACGCTCTTATCCAGAGCAACTCTCGGACGACGCTGGACCAATAGTGCGCCGCCAATGGGTCTCCCGGTCGCGGCCGGCTGCGACAGAGCCTGGACTCAAACCAGGATCAGCTAGCACTGCGATGCAGTGCCTTAGACCACTGCGCCACTCGGGAGTCAAACCCCTTAACTTTTCCCAAATTTTGTTACGTTACAGCCATATTCTAAAATGGATTAAATTACATTTTTTCCTCATCAATCTACACACAATACCCCATAATGACAAAGCAAAAACAGGTTTTTAGAAACACCTTATTTACATAAGTATTCAGACCCTTTGCTATGAGACTCGAAATTGAGCTCAGGTGCATCCTGTTT